GCAAGAAAAACGATATACCCCATAATATAGGGGTTTAGAGTTTAGGGTTGGGGTCTAGGGGTGTAGAGTTTTGGGGTTTAGGGGTGTAGGGGTTTAGGGGTTTACATTGGGTTTAGGAGTTCAGGGTTTAAGCAGGGGTGTGCGAGCCCAGATGCTAACAAAAGGGGTTTAGGGTGCTGCTAGGTTGGGTATATAGTGAAAGATAGCAACTAGTAGCAAGCGACACTAAGTAATAGAAGATGAAACATCGGCAACTACAGTACTAGTACATAGTAGTAAGAACCAGTAAATCATGTGGCGGGTGGTGTCCTTATCAGGGAAACTTAATGTGGGCTTTTGGATCCCTATTATAATACGGCCATGTGAAGTCCTCAAAAGAAACCTGTCTTGGCAACCGGGGTTGTTTGTCCACAAGCGGAGTTCTGTTTTCACTGCACTGCAGGCGCTGGAGGGTACGACGTCATTTCCGTTTTTGGTGGTTCCTCGCGAGAGGAGTTGTTCAGCAGGCTCCTTCTGCAATCAGTTATCTAGGAACTTGATCGCTGGTCCTGGTTGAGAGGAATGGGTGCTTCCACTGATCTGCTGCCAACTGTGCTGGGTCGCGGAGCTGCTGTCCGCGATTCCTCGAAATCATCCGTCAAGAGTGCAGGGTTCTGAGCTGCACCGCTGAATTTATATGTCTTCTTGTGGTTTTCCACGCCTTGAAAGGCTTTGGCGTGCAATTTCACACCAAGCTGCTGGCCTGGCAGCGGGAACCGGAATGACATGAACAGTCGTTCCTTCACTGTGTGATCCGTCCTCGTTTGCTATTGAGGCTCGCCACAGTCCAACTTGACGGTGCCAGCTCCGGCGCACATGGTCAGAGCAGGGCGAAGAGAACAAGGTGCAAGCTATGAAAGCACATGCCGGCTCAACTTTCCCTTCAGTCTGCATGCTTGTCTCTAGCTCTGCGGCACGTCCAATGACCAACATCCCTACACGCCGTCCAGACCAGAAAGATTCAAAGGCACAACAAGATGTTCAATGGTCCATAGACTTGCTGCAACCCCTTGCGGTAGAAGGACCTCCCCCTTCACAAGTAATCCCCTCCCCCTAATATTAAACCCACCCCACCCCCCCAATATTAAATACTCCCAATATATCATGTTATACCATAATTGGAGTATTGAATATTACGGCGGGTGGGGGGGTTTAATATTAGGGGCAAGGGATTAATCAAAGGAATCCTTTCAATTTCACTGCTGCAAGGCAGTCACTGTTTCCTGAGCTAGCAACTACGAGCGGACTTTTTCAGATGACTTGCACAGTCTTGCAGGTGGCGCCGAAGCTGGAGCCCAAGCAGAGAGACTTCGGGTTTTCCGAAAAGCAGGAGTTGATCTTAAGATGACTTTAGATCAGGTCTCAGTGTTTTGGAGTAGTGTGTTTGTGCAGTGTGCAACTTCGCAGTGTCCCTTTATTGCCTGGAAGATTGAAGTATGAATGGCATTAAGTGAAGTAAACGGATTGTAAATGCTGGAGTGACACCCACCTTGGCTGTTGGGCCGCGGACCACAGAAAGAGCATTTTCGAGCTGGTGTGCTCTCAGGCAGACCTGTCCAATGCCTCCGGGGAAACAGCAGCACATTTCGGCGTTCGCAAGTGGAGTATAGGAGTCAGGACTGTTGACTGAAGAGGGGGGCTGGTGGCCGCAAGGACATTGCAAGATGTACAGACCTGTTCCTGAGGACCTTGCTTCAACTGACCGATGGTGCCTTGACTGGAACATGTTGTCACCACTGATGCTACGACGTCACGTATCACTGGGCCTACAACTGTGAGTTTCTCGACCTAGTACTTCAAGTGTCCATGCTGTTGAGGTCATTCGGACTGGGTGCCATTCTCGGCCCTGACTACCACAGTCCTCGTCGAGCCTCACCTGCATGAACTTAGCCGAAGCAAATTGAAGATTGTCGTAAGTCGTGAATCCCTAGTGCCGGACCATATAGGCTGCAACCTCTCAGTGCCTGTCGTGGCTAGGATTTCAGGAGGAGGGAGATCCCCAAGTGGAGTTGACAAGGTCACAGCGCTTTACGCGGTGGTCATGGCGCCCAGGGACCATGAGGCAACCATCGCTTGGCGCCGGGAGAATCCGTCGGCATTCGTGGATACCCTCGGCTGCGATGCTGTAGCTTGTCTACACAGTGGGGAATGCCTTGCTCAAACGGCCTTCGATTCATTGCTAGAAGAGATCCACTGCAAGGTCGATCACGCTGGCTTCTATTTGATCCTTTGCACCGCAGCAGTTGCAGGCCACTGACCTGCAAGTGTTGGCAGAGACCTTGAGACTTTTTGAGGCCTTTCTGTTGGATATACAAGGACCACGGTCCGAGAGCTTGATTTTACCACAGGAATCAGGATTGTGCGCCTGGGAGGTGTTGCGGCATGCCTGATGTTCCGCAACGCCGGTGGTTCCTCGCACATCCTTTCAGCTTCAGGCATAGTGGGGCACAGAATCTATGATAAACCAGCGGCATGAAGACGCTAACGGTGGTCAGTTTCCACAAGCATGGTCTTGTTGAACTGGGTCTTATCATTCTTATTATGAGTATAATCGTTACTAGCATTAGTCTCAGGCTTATTACTACAACTACTATTACTAGTGGTACTTTGAATATTGATACTATTGTTGTTATCAGCGGTTTGCTATTGCTTTTTTGGGAGCTAGTGAAGTTGAGCAGGTCTGGCTCTTCTGAGCTGGCTCCAGGGAATCGTTGCAACCATTCTGCCAGCCCACGAGCGGGCCAAGAGCGGCTGCGCCTACGGCGCCATGCTGAAGATCATAGCGCCGCAGGACTTCTCGAATCTAAGGGGTATTCGGCCTGAGAAATTTACGTAGGGTTTATACTGGAAGCGGCTGCTAGAAATGAACCGAGTGCCGAAGCTGGGTTTGGCGTCGCGCACACAGCGCCTGTGAGGAAATGAGCAGCTACGACAACGCAGATTACTACAAGGATTACTACGGAGTGATCATTGTTCGCACCCTCTTGTTTCTGGCGGCCCTGATTTGGATGCAGCATCTCATGGTTTGGCGAGCATCTCATTTGCACCCATGAACCGTGAGAAGGTGTTGCATTCCTATTTGTTAGTTGTGTGGGTAGCACGATGGCATAGATTTCTTCAGCTTGTAGTGCCTCCGACTCATCGGCTGAAGGTCTTTACGCCGCATGGTTGTATTGCACATGAGGAACAGGCAAGGTTCCTTGTCTAAGCGCTCCTGAAAGCAGCTTGCGTCCAAGGTGTTGGCAGTGGAAACTACGTCACGCCGCTTCTTTTACGGAAGGCCCCATGACTTGACGACACTTTCAGACATGTCTCATGCGAAGCCTGGCATTGAAGACCGCTGGATGGACATGTTGTGGGTCAGTGTTCGGGACTCCTACAACCAGTGTACTGATGCAAGTGCAATACTCTTACTCTGTGGCTCTGAGACTTAGAGGCACCTCCTCACCACGGCCTGTTTCATGAAGAGTGCTAGAAAGCCACATGTACGCCAAGCCCTTCCCCACGGTGTTTGTATGACTTCATCTCAGGTGGCTTAAGCTGGGCATTGGCGTACAGAAGACTGCCGCAACAGTCTCCTGTGCCGTCAGCATCTGGAATCTCACCCGAAAGCAGCAGAGCGGATGGCCTTCAAATTCCCTTGGAATCACACGGGATATGGGGGTTTCCTAAAATTAGGGGTACCATTTTGGGGGTCCTCATAATAAGGACCATGGTATCAGTATATTGGGGTCAATATTGGGGCCCCCTTATTCTGGGAAACTACCATATAAATTTCAAGCGTGCTGAGGATCTACACGTCCATCGACGCTTCGCACACCAGCTCCTCCGAGTCCCATGTTGCGCAGGTCCTTTTTTGGCTGTCTCAGTAGGCCTGAGCCATCAGAATTCAAGCTCCGCTGTTTTTGCTAGGTGGCCCAAAACGCAGTCATCGATCATGTGAAGTTTTGGGACGACTGTGCAGAATGTGGCTGGCCTGCAAGCATGTTCTCTTCAAATGGATTCGCCATCACTTTCTGGATCATCACAGGTGCTCCATACACAGGCCTACTGAGCCTGCAGCTCCTCTTAGGGGCCTTCAATTTCATGCTCTTCGTGGCCACGGGCGCCAGAAGCTAAGTGCTTGTGACATTTTTTCTCAAATACTTGAAGTGTGTGTTGATCTCACCCAAAATCAGGTGACAGTCATCAGCATCATGTTTGTCATCCTCTATGACCTTGGGAAGGCCCGGGCTTTGGGTATTGCCTCTGACCTCCTAAGATCCTGATGTGCCACTGCTACTGCTCATGGCCTGCAATCACGGAACTTAATGTAGGCAGTTCGTGTCATCAGCGACCTGTCTTCAACGCATCCGCGTACAAGGCCTGCAGCGAACTTCAAATTTTGCTGTTGTGATTGTGTTCTGAGCCACAGGTATCGTAACTTCTTGTAGGTGCATATCGATCGGTTGCAAGGCAGATAAACTGAAATCCTGGAGGCGTGCTGGTCATCAGCTGCTGCGTGCGCGAGCGGTGGTGCGACGGCAGCTGTTCGGTGTGATGCTACATCTTGTGGCCAGCTCCATGCGCTCGCAAAGTGAAATAGTGGACTTCACTGACGGAGGTAGGTAGGTAGGTAGATTGGTAGGTAGTTTGAATTTTCTTTTCCATTATCCCCATATAACCCCAATATTACCCTTATGCAACCCCAATATGACCCCTATATAACCCCAATGCGACCCATATATAACCCCAACATTACCCCTATGCAACACCATCATGGCCCCCATATAACCCCAATGTAGGTAGTCAGTAGCAGCACCTCTGGGGTTGCTCTCGGGTAGCTTCGGCAGGTAGAGAGGGTTGCGGGTGGCCTGTTCTTTGAACCTATGCTAAGATGTAAATCATGGGAAATGGCCCTCTAAAGCAGGCCTAATATTGACAGTCTCGTTGCAAGCCACCATACTTCCTACAACCCTGCGCTCCCATTCTTAGCTAAGCATGCGTAAGCTTGCTGGGTTAATATGCACAATTTAAAATAAGTTGCGATAGCATGGCATGGGCATATAGTAGAAAATAGCCTTCCTGTACTTTGGTAAGCTGATTTTAGTTCTTCATGGCCTTGTATAACACCAGCTTCCATTTCATTTTTCATTCAATTTTCCGTCTGTTTCTCCTTATTTATACATACACAGAGGTGGTAATTGAACCTAGCAGTAGACAATAGTACTAGTAGCCAGTCTCATAGGGCTATCAGTATTAATCACAAGCTTCAGAGGAGCAAGAACATGCACCATAACGGCAGCACCTGTAGTCCCCCTTAAGTAGATAGGATATGGGTCCCTTTAAAGGGGTTA